ATGAGCAAAGCCCTTAACAGTCTCTGTCCTCGTTGAGCTTGTAGTCTGTTGGGAGACAGACATGAGCCAAATGTCAACATAAATGTGAAACTGCAGTCAGAGTCAGGCCTATGAAGGAGCAGAACAGTGCTCTGAAAGCTCATGATGGGATCTAATGTAGCTGGGGAGGCCCAGTTCCGATACTGTGACCTTGTTCTGGTGGATGTGTGGAAGTTACACAGGCAAAGAGGGAAGAGGGTGTACTTTAGGGGATGGGGGGACAGTGTGTTCCTGTGTAGAAAGGCCCTAGAAGGGCTAAGTCACTCAGAGTTGGGGGGAGTTTTGAATTAAGGCTTGTAAACTAGAGGTGCAACATCAAATTTGTGTTTTGCAAAGATAACCCTAGATGAGGAAACAAGTGAGGAACAAGGCTAGACTTTTTTGAGGAACTTTTTCATAATACAGAAGATTATTATTTCCAGACGAGCAAATCTGGGTAATTCTTAAATTCCTAGGTGATCAGTTCATCATGGTCACTGCTTCTCAGCGGGGCAGTGCTGACATTTGGGCAGAGCAGTCTCCCCTGGCACAGTGCTGTCCTGAGCACTGCAGATACTCAGCATCTGTAGCTTACGAGAACTCATAACCAACAAACATACCTGCACTTGCTTCCAGATGCCCCGGGGCCAGGTGGCTCAGCTGCTGGTTGGGAATCAATGAGTTAGACTTTCAAATCAATTTTTATAAATTTGTAGGTACTTTACATTTCCTTTCATATCTGAAAACATCAACTACTTAACTCGAATTAGTTTGAGATAATAAAAGGGAGGATTTACTGACTCAGACCTCTGAAAAGCCTATGAATGTTCAGGCTTATATAATTAGTGGCCATGGGGGCCCAAATCATCTTTTCAGGAATGTATCTTTCTCTGTTTCTCAGTTCAGCTTACTTTGTGAAGTCCTTATTCTCAGGCAGTTTCCCTTTACATGATGATAGCAATAGCCCTGACAGCTGTCATCTTGTGTTTAGAATGAAGTTTGATATCAATCAATAATCAGTGTTTATATCATATCACCCACTTAACCAACAAGATAATAAATGAAGCACAGTTGTTTCCTTATTTTTTTTACTTTTCTTACCTGCTACCCTTACATAGTTTTAGATATATAAATATTTTTATATATTCCGTGTTTTTTAAATTAATTTTCATGGCCTATAATTTCTTAGATTTCATTTACTAACAAGTGTTACAGTTTCAGTATAGTTTTAATGATTTCTTTGCTCCTCAGTTTTTCTTGGACCCCGTGTCTTCCCACGTGCTCTTGAATTTATTTATCTATTTGTTTATTTTTGCTTGAGCCCATTTCCCTTTCTGAAATAATTCAAAGATAGTACATTTCTAAGTACTTTACACTTCTGAAATAACTTTATTTCGCCTTTCTGCTAGTTTGACTTGGTAAAGAAATTTAGGCTTAAAATAAGTTTCCCTTACAAATTTGAAGACATATTTTAACTGAATTTTAAATCTATTGTTGCTATAAGGAATACTGATTATAAATTGTTCTTAAGACATGTGCACATGTATGTTCATTGTGGCACTGTTTGCAGTAGCAAAGACTTGGAACCAACCCAAATGCCCATCAATGATAGATTGGATAAAGAAAATGTGGCACCTATACACCATGAAATACTTTGCAGCCATAAAAATGTGTGAGTTCATGTCCTTTGAAGGGACATGGATGAAGCTGGAAACCATCATTCTCAGCAAATGGACACAAGAACAGAAAACCAAACACCGCATGTTCTCACTCATAGGCGGGAGTTGAACAATGAGAACCCATGGACACAGGGAGGGGAACATCACACACTGGGGCCTGTTGGGGGGTTGGGAAGCTGGCGAAGGGATAGCAGGGGGTAGGCGGATTTGGGAGGGATAGCATTAGGAGAAATACCTAATGTAGATGACGGGGGATGCAGCAAACCACCATGGCATGTGTGTAACTGTGTAATAATCCTGCATGATCTGCACATGTACGCCAGAACTTAAAGTATAAAAATATATATATATTGTTCCACTTATAGGTAAACCTATGTGTATGCCTGTGTGTGTGCATGTGTAGGGGAGTTGGGATGGCTTTTAGATTGACTTTCTGATGCTTGGAGTTTATAAATAATTCTAAAATATATCTAGATATTTTTAACTCCTTTTCAGCATCTGAGTGTCATTTCAAAGTTAAAGCTTAATACATGGGGAGAGTGAAAAGGTAAACATATGTTTGGAAATGCTCATCCTAAAACAGAAGCCTATTTTTCTTCTTTTTAGACAGGGTCTGACTCTGTCATCCTAGCTGGAGTGCAGTGGCACAATCTCCGCTCATTACCAACTCTGCCTCCCTGGCTCAAGCCATCCTCCAACCTCAGCGTTCCAAAAAGTAGCTGGGAGTAGAGGTGCATGCCACCATGCACAGCTAATTTTCATGTTTTTAGTAGAGAAGGGATTTCACCATGTTGCCCAGGCTGATCTCACATTCCTGAGCTCAAGCAATCCAAGGGCCTTGGCCTCCCAAAGCGCTGAGATTACAGTGTGAACCCCTGCGCCCGGCCACAGAAGCCTTCTTACTGTCTATAATTGTTCCCAGTTGATTTTCTTGTTTTTTCGACATATGAAATAACATCATCCTCAAACAAACTTTGATCTCTTCAAATATGTACACTTCACATATCTTTTTCTTGCCTATTGGCATGCTAATGATGCTGATAAAATACCTTTGTCTTGTTCTTAACTTTAATATCTTAATGCAGTGATTCTGTTGTTTTACTATTTGGTATAATATGGACCGTTGTTTTTAGGAAAACATTATTAGGTTTTCTATATATTCTTTTATCCCATTTTATTAAACTTTTTATCGTGAATAATTGCTGAGTGGCATCACATGCTTTTTGTTTTGTTTGTTTTGTTTTTGAGATGGGCTCTTGCTCTGTCATCCATACTGAAGTACAGTGGCATAGTTATGGCTCACTGCAGCCTCTGCCTTGTGGGCTCAAGAAATCATCCCACCTCAACCTTCTGAGTAGTTGCAACTTAGATGCATGCCACCAGGCCCAAATAATTTTTGTATTTTTTTGTAGAGGCGGGTTCTCACCATGTTACCCAGGCTGGTCTCAAACTCCTGGGCTCAAGAGATCTGCCAACTTCAGTCTCTCAAAGTTCTGGGATTATAGGCATGAGCCACCACACACAGTCTCATCACATGCTTTTATTGACAGCCGTGAAGATAATCTTGCAGACTTTTCTCCATCTTATTGCTCTTATGAATTATGATAATAGACTTTATACAACTGGATGGTTCAGAATAAAGTCTGTTTTTCATATTGTCATATTTGTTTGCTTATTGCTAAATTTGATTTGGTCAGATTTTTATTTATAACTTCTGTTTCTAAAGTAAATCTGTGATTTTCTTTTTTGTAGTTTCTTTGTTATAGTTTGTTTTATAGTTTCAGTGTCAGTGACACAGCATACATTGTAAAAACAACTGGAAAAAATTGTTCTTTTCTGATTTAGGCCGGTACAAATGGTATAGGAATTTGTTGTGCTTCGTGGGCTATACGCTCTTGCAGCTACTCGGCTTTGCTGTGTAGCAGCCATAAAAAGTACAGAAATCAATGAACATGGCTATTTCCCAATAAAAATGTCATTTACATTAACAAGCAGGGGGCTGGGTTTGGACCACAAAATTTAGCTGGCCCTAACTCACCCTTGTTCTGGGCGTTTGGAATACTGCAGGAAAAGAGAAGCAGTTTCTGCTGTTGATACAGCTTACAGGCTAAGGGAGGTGGGAAGTAACCTAGAAGTCCTGATGCTCATACTAGGCAGTATACTCAGTCCCTGCGGAGTGGGCACAGCCAATATTTGTTGGGTGTACGAATACAGTTCTGTAGTAGCAGTGAGCACAGCATGTTATAGTGGGATGAAGACAGGTAACTTTGTGATGGCTGTTTTACTCTAAGGACGAATTTTTTTTCTCCAAGGAATAACTTCATGGCTATGACCTGGATAGTTGAAGTTACCAGAATTCTCAATGTAGGTAAATACTGTATTCATGACACAGCTATAGCCCCAACCCACTCAGGACAGTAGGATATGTTAGGCATTGAAGAAATATTTGCTGAAGGAAATGGAAGAACAAATGAGTGATGAAATGAATACATGGTTTTCCATTTAGAAATGGAAAAGATATTTGTTGTAAAAGCATAGGACATGGGAACAGCTAGTATTAGGTCAAATACAAAATCTACAATTTACTATTCATGTAATAATAGGGCAAGTTAAGTTACTTCTCGGTGCCTCAATTTTCCTAATATGTAAAATGGGGATAAAAATTTTCCTGAGTTAATATTGTTATTGTGAGGAACAAGCAAATCAATTCATATAAATTGTACAAATGTGTCTGACATATAGTAAACAATAATCAGTACAGATTTTTATTACACAGTACATCAAATAAAATTCAGCTAATGCAAATGTGAAAACCATGTATCTCCTTTGAGGTTACATTCCATAGTTTTTACAACTGATAGAGACACCAACTAATCAGAATGAATGATGATCATAGTATATGACAGAGGCTCAGATCCAGGTACCAGGGGGTCCTGAAAGGCTCTGGAAGAGGAGTTAGGATGGCAGAAGAGCACTTGGGAAGTTTGGCCAGCAGCTGCTTAACAACTGAAATGGAAGTGTCAGTTGGTAACAGAATACACAGCTGACATGCATCCCTCCAGCACAGCAGTATGGATGCATATCAGCTGTGTATTCTCTTGGTATCTGCTAGTATGAACACGTAACAGTGACTTTTATATATATGTTGTATTCATATACTTGTATGTTTATTTACATATAATGTTAATACCATCCAGTGGGACTATAGGACAGCTGAAATTAATATTTATTTTATGATGAAGTTTACCTGTGAGTTCTTTGAATTTCTCATTGGCTTACTCTTGTTTTGTCATTTGTCTTTAGATATATGCAAAAAACCTGGTGAATGCCGATCGTTGTGCACTTTTCCAGGTAGACCATAAGAACAAGGAGTTATATTCAGACCTTTTTGATATTGGAGAGGAAAAGGAAGGAAAGCCTGTCTTCAAGAAGACCAAAGAGATAAGGTACAGCCAGAAGTAGAATGTCCTATCCTCTTACGATAGATGTGCAGGTGTTCTGTTACCCATTTTTCTGTGCCTATTCACAGGTATGCTGACAATACTTGTCATACTGTGATATCATTCCCACCAGGACCCGCCTCCTGAAGGTAGTACTTCTGGGAATGACATTGCAGTCAGTGCCAGCGAAACAGCGCCTAGGAAGCTTTAGCGTCACTCCTGGAAATGCCGTCTTCCGGAGGCGGTCCTTTTGGAAATCATGTTGGAAAAACTTTCTAGTGCTCCCAGGTAGGTAAAGGTACACTCCACCTGGAATCTGCAGGTTTTCCCATGTCCAAGAGAAAAGGTGTGCTTATCCAATTTGGCCCCTACCTCTTCCCAGCCTATGGCCTGACAGTCCAATCAGTAGTAGAAATTGATCTGGTATAGTTGATGACTTAAATACACTCTGTAACTCACGTAGCACACTTGTGTTGCATCTTGAAACTAAAGTCTTTGTTTTTTTAAGTGGCAGCGATTGTCACTTAAATGAACAGAATGGAGTTTATTTTGCTGATGGAGGCATGGGGGCTCGCTCATATCACACCTGGAAACCTACAAAAGGAGCACTCTGACAAAACGTTTAAAAATCAAGCTTAACATTCAAAAGTTGAGAAAATCATTTTAGATGTTTTCATTTCTTTTGCTTTATGTGTCTTGTTTAACTGCTTTTCTGTATAACACCATAAAGTTCTCTAGTAATGACAACATTTTAGTAAACACTGTGTCTTCTTAATTAAGGATTGTTATATATTTGGGCAGTCTATCATAGAAGGAAACTAATGTCAAGGAAACTCAGCGTGTGCCCCACCATGGGGTCCCACCACGCTCTGCCTCTCAGAACTTCCTCTATATTCTATACTCATGTAACTCTGATTTATGGGCACTGTATTGCTACTTGAGCTTTAAACATTTTTGTCTATTTGTTGTTGGGTTTTTTGTTGTTGTTGCTAGATCTCAGTATAGCAGTTTGGATATAGTCATTTAGATAAGCCATTTCTCTTGCTGAAGATTTGAATGTTCTCTAACACTGCTGGTGTTGATTTAATTTTCAAAATAACGACTTAAATCCTGTATTTATAAGCATAAGAAAAACACAAGAGAGTGCGATATACTGTAACTCTCAGATGACTGGTTAATAGCAGCCTTTTCTGTAAGAATTGCTTCTTAATTATGGTCTTTCACTGACCATAGTTAGCAAACGACAGAGAGCATGAACGTAAGTTATAGTTCAGACTTCTCTCAGACCAGCACAAACGAGCATAAATCATGAAATGGATTCTGCTATTCTTTGCTCCTGGCAATCTGATTCTTTATGTTTATGTTGTTCAAAGCACAAGAAAACCAGGAAAAAAGGCAACCATGAGTTTTATGCAGTGTTTGGTTCACTCTTTGGTGTTTTAAGTAGATTCTCTTTTGTATTAATTATATTTTGAGTTTTTCTGATAGTCTTCAGAGGTGAAGCTTTATTTCATTAATGATTATTTCCTATAATGTTGGTAATGTAATATGGAAATTACTTTTGAACTATGGAAAATGTAGATATTGTGACTTATAGACATCTTAAGGAAATTTTGAAATGAGTGCATGTGTAATAATAGTATAGTAATGAGAAAAATATAAGTATGCAATTATTTTTACAAAGGAAAATTACTGATATTAGATATAAAATATAGATAATGCTTGTATTTTGATTGTTTTAAATTTTAACAAATTAGGTAAAAATGCTAGAAGTTGTACATTGTGTTATTTCTGTATAGTACTTGCATTGCAAACACCATTAAATTCAGTTCTGTATAATATCTCAAGCTCAGGCATAACCCATGAGTTTCGTTATATATGTGAAAGAAAGCACAGTGGTAGAGACTGGCATTCTAGTTTTCATTGTGCCACTGGTATCTGATGAATGTTGGCAAATTACTGAAGCCATGTAGGCCTTTGTTCACACTTCATTGAGAATCCACTAAAAAAAAATTATATTTAAGTATCTTGTAAATTATAAGGTACTTTGCAAGCAGAAAGGATTATTATTGGTCAGAGCAGGAGGACACTAGTTGATTGTTTGATCTCGATTTGTGAATTAATATTTTAAGGTTGTTGGGTGATTACTGTGTAATACTTTTCTGCGTTATTTTTACATATTTTATAAGGTGATTTGGAATATGTAAATGTAGAATTAATACATGCATTTAAGTAAAACAATGCTTTTAATTAAATATAGATAACAATGGAATATTTTAAATTGTTCTACAGCATCCATATTTTAATTAGCATGTCCTTCTGTTTTACATATGCAGGTTTTCAATAGAGAAAGGAATTGCTGGCCAAGTAGCAAGAACAGGGGAAGTCCTGAACATTCCAGATGCCTATGCAGACCCACGCTTTAACAGGTAAGGAATAGCTGATGCCCCCATTGGTTTCTTCTGTAATGTCCCACTCAGCTGCAACCTCTTCCCTGGACCCTGAGTTCTCCATGTCCCAATTCAGTTCTTTCCTCCTAAGTTTTCTTCTTTGAACCAACTCTGCTATCACTAGTCAGTATATTCAGATATTTATAAAATGATGGATTCTAATCCACTGATATATAATGATATCTAGATACAGGAGTTTAGAATTTTATAAAAATAACTGATAGGCAGAAGTTTTCATTTATAGAGCTATTGTGGGATTTTTGTATTATAGTGTCATGATTTTGTGATGAACATATTCTCCATCAAATCACATGCTCAAAGGCTACAACACATAGTAAGAAATCTGCAGACTTTTGAGATGAGTAGGTCTACCTTTGAGTCACGGTTCTGTCACGTATTAGCTCTTAACTGACCTAGCATAAGTTACTTAATCTCTCTGAGCCTCAGTTTCCTCATTGCTGCTAACATGAGTATGATAATGCCAGTTTTGTTGCTGTTGTTTTAAGATCACAGATAATATTCATAAAGGATCTGGAAAATTTACCTGACCCAAAGTAACTAAAGAAGTTGTGTCTTTTATTGGATGTTATTAAAGATGGATATTAGGATAGCTTATAAAGATTTTTTGTTTTGTTTTGACTTTCTTTGAGAGGTGCAAACCCAATTATATAATTTGATTTTAATAAACATCTAGAAATGGAAAGTCTCAGGATTGCTCCTATGACTGTTAGAGAGAAATATTTATAGTAGTTTGACAGCAGTGTTTAGTTAATTCCAACACGTTGTTTACTTTAAAAGACAAATAACATAAGCAATAGGAAGTTTATTCAGATATTTGATCAATTGATGTCAAATATGCACAACTCATATAAAAACATAGCAATATTCTAGTCATATATATTGTCAATAAATTAAGGGTATACCGAAAGCTTATGTTTTCTAAAAATCCAAGCACATCATTTAGTACTTAAAATTTAAAAATATTTGCATATCCTTATGTATAATCTTTATGTAAAAACGTATGAGTCAGACTATTTAAAAAATGAAAATGCAAGCAACTGATTCAGAGAAAATATTTGTAAAACATATCTGACGAAATACATCTAATATATGAAAACTCTTCCAACATAACAATGAGAAGATAACCCAATTTAATAAAAAGGGCAGATAATTTTAAGGCCCCACAAAAGGAGATATTCACTGATCGCTAAACACAAGAAAAATGTTCGAAGTGAGAGGAATATAAATGTAATTGACATGAGACCTCACTGTACCCCAGCTTGAATGGCTGTGACTTTAAAACATTGGCATTAGCAAAGATTGGCCAGGATGTGGAGAAACGAGTATCCTCATACGTTGTTGGTAGGAATATATTATGGTACAACTGCTTGGGAAAACAGGTTTGCAGTTTCTTGAAAAGTTAAACATACACTTACTGTACAGTCCACAAATCAGCTCCACTTCTAGATATTACTACAAGAAGACTGAAAACATGGTGCTACAGGACTTGTATGCAAACCTTCAAAGCAGCATTATTCATAATTGCCAAAAACCGGCTATTAACACATAATACTGTCCATTATTTGGTGAATGAATAAACAAAATATGATATATCCATTCAATAGAGATACAACTCAGCAATAAAAAGGACTTAACCACTAATACATGCAACAACGTGGATGAATCTCAAAAACCATTATGCTAAATGAGAGAAGCCAGGCACTGAAGACTCAGATGTAACTACCTACCCATTAGCTCTATCACTGTTTCTATGGAACTTACCCAGTCCTGTTTTCAAAAAACATTTTATAATGTATGCAAATCCAAATTATATAATTTGATTTTAATGAACCTCTAGAAATGGAGAGTCTCAGGATTGATGCTATGACTGTTGAGAGTAATATTTACAGTAGTTTGATAGCAGTGTTTAGTAGATATCGTGACTCGTCACAATAGGAGTCAGCAAACTTTTTCTATTAAGGATCAAATGATGAGTATTTTTGCCTTTACAGGCACTAAGGTCCTTGTCACAAGTCCACAGCTCAGCCTTGTAGGGTGATGGCAGAATCAGACAATCAATGAATGAATGGTGTGGCTGTGTTCTAATACAATTTTATTTATAAAACAAGAGAGGGCTGATTTGGCCCCTGGGTGCAGTTTGCTGACCACTGCTCTAAGCTTTTAAAGTAGGAACTCTATAAGTTGGTTTAGCAAGTGACATCTCTCATAAACATGACCAACTTCAAAGGATCATGTCATTTTACCAAATTTAATTGTATTTCTCCCCTGAATTCACTTTTTAAAAAATCTGTTTACTTAGTAAGCAGGCTGCTGGATACTTCAAATGAGAAGCTGAAAGCCACTTAGAGACTATCCTAGAAAACTCTGTTGGAAACAAAAGAACAAGTGGGTTAGAATATTTTTGCAAAGGTTTTAATAAAACACTTTGAAATGTTACTGTCCCTGAATTTGGAAGCTAAAAGTGCCATTACAGTCGTATGTAATAGAAGCATATAAATTGCAAAGACTTAGGGGAGATTTATGATTGACTGTGTCATTTATTTCTTCTGCCTTTGTTTGTTTTTGGTTATTTTTGGTTCTGTCCCACCCCACAGAGAAGTAGACTTGTACACAGGCTACACCACGCGGAACATCCTGTGCATGCCCATCGTCAGCCGAGGAAGCGTGATAGGTGTGGTGCAAATGGTCAACAAAATAAGTGGCAGTGCCTTCTCTAAAACAGATGAAAACAACTTTAAAATGTTTGCCGTCTTTTGTGCTTTAGCCTTACACTGTGCTAATGTAAGTAGTATTTATTAAGTACCATTTCTTTCCTACTCAATATTAATTTGAAACCTTTTTCGTAAAGCAGTTTAAGGGGATTTTTTTTTTTCATTTTATATTTCCTTTACAAACCAGGAAAAGTGAGTGATTCCTGATTGTACGTGTTTTTAAAAATGCCATAAATTGCCCTGGAAGAAAAAAGAACAATCTCCTAATAGTTTGCATTTATTTCAAGATGAGAATTTGTTAAGAAGAAAAATGAAGTCAGGGGGTGGGGCAAGATGGCCTAACAGGAACAGCTCCGGTCTGCAGCTCCCAGCGAGATCAATGCAGAAGGCAGGTGATTTCTGCATTTCCAACTGAGGTATCTGGCTCATCTCAATGGGACTGGTTAGACAGGGGGTGTAGGCCACAGAGAACAAACCAAAGCAGGGGGGGGCATCACCTCACATGGGAAGTGCAAGGGTGGGGGAACTCCCTCCCCTAGCCAAGGGAAGCTGTGAGGGACTGTACCATGAGGAACAGTGCATTCCAGCCTAGATGCTATGCTTTTCCCACCATCTTCTCAACCCACAGACCAGGAGATTCCCTCGGGTGCCTACAGCACCAGGGCCCTGGGTTTCAAGCACAAAACTGGGCAGCCCTTTGGGCAGACACTGAGCTAGCTGCAGGATTTTTTTTGCATACTCCAGTGGCACCTGGAATGCCAGCGAGACAGAACCGCTCACTCCCCTGAAAAGGGGGCTGGAGCCAGGGAGCCAAGTTGTCTAGCTCAGCGGATCTAATCCCCATGGAGCCCTGGAAGCTAAGGTCCACTGGCCTGAAATTTTCACTGCCAGCACAGCAGTCTGAAGTTGATCTGAGACACTTGAGCTTGGTGTGGGGAGGGGCGTCTGCCATCACTGAGGCTTGAGTAGGCAGTTTCCCCTCACAGTGTAAACAAAGATGCAGGGAAATTAAGACTGGGCAGAGCCCACCACTGTGCCAGAATGCCTCTCTAGGTTCCTCCTTTCTGGGTAGGGTATCTCTGAAAGAAAGGCAGCAGCATCAGTCAGGGGCTTTTAGATCAAAATTCCATCCCCTAGGACAGAGTGCCTGGGGGAAGGGGTGGCTGTGGGCACAACTTCAGCAGACTTAAACATTCCCGCCTGCTGGCTCTAAAGAGAACAGCACTGCACTGGAGCTCAGCTAAGAGACAGACTGCCTCCTCAAGTGGGTCCCTGACCCCTGGGCCTCCAGACTGGGAGAAACTTCCCAGCAGGGTTCGGCAGACACCTCATATAGGAGAGCTCCAGGTAGCATCTGGCGGATCTCCCTCTGTGATGAAGCTTCCAGAGGAAGGAACAGGCAGCTGTGGTTGCTGTTCTGCAGCCTCTGTTGGTGATATCCAGGCAAATAGTGTCTGGAGTGGACCTCCAGCAAATTCCAGCAGACCTGCAGCAGAAGGGCCTATTAATTAACAAAAAGTAATACCATCAGCATCAACAAAAAGGACATCATACACACAAAAACCCCATCTAAAGGTCACCAACATCAAAAAACAAAGGTATATACATCCACAAAGATGGGGAAAAACCAGTGTAAAAAGGCTGAAAATTCAAAAACAAGAATGCCTCTTCTCCTCCAAAGGATCGCAACTCCTTGCCATGAACGGAATAAAACTGGACAGAGAATGAGTTTGACGAATTGACAGATGTAGTTTTCAGAAGGTAGGTAATAACAAACTCACCTGAGCTAAAGAAGCATATTCTAACCTAATACAAGGAAGCTAAGAACATTGAAGAAAGGTTAGAGGAATTGCAAACTAGAATAAACCATTTAAGAGAAGAACATAAATGACCTGATGGAGGTGAAAAACACAGTACAAGAACTTCTTGAAGCTTACAGAAGTATCAATAGCCGAATCAATCAAGGAAATACAGAATATCAGAGATTGAAGAGTAACTTAATGAAATAAAACATGAAAACAGGATTAGAGAAAAAGGAATGAAAAGGAATGAACAAAGCCACCAAAAAATATGGGACTATGTGAAAAGGCCAAACCTATGTTTGATTGGTATACCTCAAAGTGACAGGGAGAATGGAACCAAGTTCGAAAACACTCTTCAGGGTATTATCTAGAACTTCGCCAACTTAGTAAGACAGGCCAACATTCAAATTCAGGAAATACAGAGAACACCACAAAGATACTCCTTGAGAAGAGCAAAAATGTTAAGGGCAACCAGAGAGAAAGGTCAGGTTACCCACAAAGGGAAGCCCATCACACTAATAGCAGATCTCTCTGCAGAACCCCTGTTACAAGCCAGAGGGGGGGGGGGCAATATTCAGCATTTTTAAAGAAAAGAATTTTTAACCCAGAATTTTATATCTGGCCAAACTAAGCTTCATAAGCAAAGGAGAAATAAAATCCTTTACAGACCAGCAAATACTGAGACATTTTATCACTACCAGGCCTGTCTTACAAGAGCTCCTGAAGGAAGCGCTAAATATGGAAAGGAAAACTGGTACCAGCCACTGGAAAAACATACCAAATTGTAAAGACCATTGACACTATGAAAAACTGCATCAACTAGTGGGCAAAATAACCAGCTAGCATCATAATGACAGGATCAAATTCACACATAATAATATTAATCTTAAAGGTAAATGGGCTAAATGCCCCATTTAAAAGACACAGACTAGCAAATCTGATAAAGAGTCAGGATCCATCAGTGTGCTGTATTTAGTAGACCCATGGACTCATGTCACATGCAAAGACACACATAGGTTCAAAATAAAGGAGTGGAGGAAAATTTACCAAGCAAATGGAAAGAAAAAAAAAAGAAAAAAAAAAGCAATGGTTGCAATCCTAGTCTGTGATGTGATAAAACAGACATTAAACTCAAAAAACACAAAGAAGGGTATTACATAATGGTAAAGGGATCAATGCAACAAGAAGAGCTAACTATCCTAAATATATTTGCACCCAATATAGGAGCACCCATATTCATAAAACAAGTTCTTAAATACCTACAAAGAGGCTTAGATTCCCACACAATAATAGTGAGAGACTTTAACACCACACTGTCAATGTTAGACAGATCAACGAGACAGAAAATTAACAAGGATATTCAGGACTTGAACTCAGCTCTAGACCAAGTGTACCTAATATACATTTACAGAACTGTCCACCCCAAATCAAAAGAATGTATGTTATTCTCAGCACCACATCACACATTTCTAAAATTGACCACATAATTGGAAGTAAAACACTCCTCAGCAAATGCAAAAGAATGGAAATCATAACAAACAGTCTCTCAGATCACAGTGCAATCAAATTAGAACTCAGGATTTAAAAACTCACTCAGAACTACACAACTACATGGAAAGCAACCTGCTCCTGTATGACTACTGGACAAATAAATTAAGGCAGAAAAAAGTTCTTTGAAACCAATGAAAACAAAGACAGAATGCACCAGAATCTCTGGGACACAGCTAAAACAGTATTTAGAGAGAAATTTGTAGCACTAAATGCCCACGGGAGAAAGTGGAAATACCTAAAATCAACACCCTAACATCACAATTAAAAGAACTAGAGAAGCAAGAAGAAAGAAATTCAGAAGCTAAAAGAATACAAGAAATAACTAAGATCAGAGCAGAGCTGAAGGAGATAGAGACATGAAAAACCCTTCAGAAAAAATCAATGAATCCAGGAGCTGATTTTTTGAAATGATTAACAAAATAGATCACTAGTCAGACTGATAGAGAAGAAAAGAGAGAAGAATCAAATAGACACAATAAAAAATGATAAAGGGGATATCACCACCAATCCCAGAGAAATACAGACTACCATCAGAGAATAATATAAACACTTCTACGCAAATAAACTAGGAAATCTAGGATAAATCCCCAGACACATACACCATCCAAGGGTAAACCAGGAAGAATTTGAATCCCTGAATAGACCAATAACAAGTTCTGAAATTGAGGCAGTAATTAGTAACCTACCAACTAAAAAAAAAGCCCAGGACCAGAGGGATTCACAGCCGAATTCTACCAGAGGTAGGTACAAAGAAGAACTGGTACCATTCCTAATGAAACTATTCCAAACAATAGAAAAAGAGGGACTCATCCCTAACTCATTTTATGAGGCCAGCATCATCCTGATACCGAAACCTGGCAGAGGCACAACAACAACAAAAATTTTAGGCCAATATTTCTAATGAACTTTGATGTAAAAATCCTCAATAAAATACTGGCAAATTGAATCCAGCAGCACATCAAAAAGCTTATCCACCACAATCAAGTCAGCTTCATCCCTGGGATGCAAGGATGGTTCAGCATTGCAAGCCAATAAATGTAATCCATCCTATAAACAGAACCAATGACAAAAATCACTTGATTATCTCAACAGATGCAGAAAAGACCTTTGATAACATTCAGCTCCCTTTCATGCTAAAAACTCTCAATAAACTAGGTATTGATGGAATGTATCTCAAAGTAATAAGAGCTATTTATGACAAACCCGTTACCAATATAATACTAATGGGCAAAAGCTGGATGCATTCCCTTTGAAAACTGGCTCAAGACAAGAATGCCCTCTCTCAGCACTCCTATTCAACATATTATTGGAAGTTCCAGCCAGGACAATCAGGAAAGAGAAAGAAATAAAATGTATTCAAATAGGAAGAGAGGAAGTCAAATTTTCTCTGTTTGCAGAGGACATGCTTGTATATTTAGAAAACTCCATCATCTCAGCTTCACATCTCCTTAAGGTGATAAGCAAATTCTGCAAAGTCTCAGGATACAAAATCAATGTGCAAAAGTGCACAAGCATTCCTATACACCAATAATAGACAAACAGAGAGCCAAATCATGAGTGAACTCCCACTCACAATTGCTGCAAAGAGAATAAAATACCCAGGAATACAACTTACAATGGATGTGAAGTACCTCTTCAAGAAGAACTACAAACCACTGCTCGAGGAAATAAGAGAGGACACAAACAAATGAAAAAACATTCCATGGTCATGGATAGGAAGAATCAATATTGTAAAAATGGCCATACTGCCCAAAGTAATTTATAGATTCAATGCTATCCCCATGAAGCTACCAATGACTTTCTTCACAGAATTAGAGAACACTGCTTTAAATTTCATATGGAACCCAAAAAGATCCTGTAGATCCAAGATAATCCTAAGCAAAGAGAACAAAGCTGAAGACATTGCGCTACCTGACTTCAAACTATACTACAAGGCTACAGTAACCAAAACAGAATGGTACTGGTATCAAAACAGATATATAGACCAATGGAACAGAACAAAGGCCTCAGAAATAATGCTACACATCTACAACACTCTGATCTTTGACAAACCTGACAAAAATAAGCAATGGGGAAAGGATTCCCTATTTAATAAATAGTATTTGGAAAACTTACTAGCCATGTGCAGAAAACTGAAACTGGACCCCTTCCTTTCACCTTATACAAAAATTAACTCAAGATGGATTAAAGACAAGACCTAAACGTAAAAACTTTAGAAGAAAACCTAGGCCATACCATTCAGTACATAAACATGGACAAAGACTTCATGACCAAAACACTAAAAGCAATTACAACAAGTCAAAATTGACAAATGGGATCTAATCAAACTAAAGAGCTTCTGCACAGCAAAAGAAACTATCATCAGATTGAACAGGCAACCTACAGAATGGGAGAAAAATTTTACAATCTATCCACCTGACAAAGGGCTGATTTCCAGAATCTACAAAGAACTTAAACAAATTTACAAGAAAAAAACACCATCAAAGAGTGGGCAAAGGATATGAACAGACACTTCTCAAAAGAAGACATTTATGCGGCCAAGAAACATTTTAGAGAAAGCTCATTATCACTGGTTATTAGAGAAATGCAAATCAAAATCACAATGAGATACCATCTCATGCCAGTTAGAATGGCGATCATTAAAAAGTCAGGAAAAGTACAGATGCTGGAGAGAATGTGGAGAAATAGGAACACTTTTACACTGTTTATGGGAGTGTAAATTAGTTCAACCATTGTGGAAAACAGTGGGGCAGTTCCTCAGGTTCTAGAACCACAAACAGCATTTGACCTAGCAATCCCATTACTGGGTATATACCCAAAGGATTATAAATCATTGTACTATAAAAACATGCACACATATATTTATTATAGCACTGTTCACAATAGCAAAGACTTGGAACCAATCCAAATGCCCATCAAAGATAGACTGGATAAAGAAAATGTGGCACCTATATACCATGGAATACTATGCAGTCATAAAAATGTTTGGCTCATGTCCTTTGCAGGGACATGGATGAAGCTAGAAACCATCATTCTCAGCAAACTGACACAGGAACAGAAAACCAAACAGCACATATTCTCACCCATAAGTGGAAGATAAAACAATGAGAACACATGGACACAGGGAGGGGAACATCACACACAGGGGCATGCAGAGAAGTGAGTGGCTAGGGGAGGGATAGCATTAGGAGAAATATCTAATCTAGATGATGGGTTGATGGGTGCAGCAAACAACCATGGCCTGTGTATACCTATGTAACAAACCTGCATGTTCTGCACATATATCCCATGACTTAAAGTATAATTAAAAAAAAATGAAGTTAATGTAAAGGTAAAATGTCTAAGCATTAGGCTTATATTTAATGATATCTACTGAAATGAATAAAGAAGATGCTACCTAAACCTTGACTGTTAGTCAAATGCATTGCATTTCAGATCCTTACACAAAAATACAGTCATAGTTCATGTTTTGACACCTATAGGAAAGTTCTGTTTGTGACAAAAATTGAGGCACCAGGTTGTCCATGTCAGATGCATTCTAGGTGTTACCTCATTAATCCTCATGAAAAGTTGTACCATGTTCACTGAAGAGTTAAATGAAGTTCAATGTGGATTGTCAAGTCTCACTTTAAAATTGTGGAATTCACTTTCTTTTACATTATTATATTTTAAATGAATTGAATATTTAATATTCTGTAAACTCCAGTAATCCTTTAATGATATTACTAGAATTTTCAAGTTTGGGAAAATTTTAGTATGGTAACCTTTTCATACAGCTAAATCAACATAAATGGGAGTTGCCCCCTTAATCCATTAGAGAAATTGCTTTTTAGGAAGTAGGACTGGATTCCATAGGGGTAACCATGTAACTGATAGGAACAGCTGAGGCATAACTAGGGACAAACATTGTGAAAGCTGACATTCTGGTGACCAAGCGTAACTGTTTTAAATTCAGTTTGTGCTATTTAGTAAGAGTACTTGTCCTCTCCTCTCACATTCCTGGTGCCCTTTTGGGGGACAGTTACTGTCACACAGATCCTCAGAAATAAACTAGGAATGCTGTCCAACACTTTTGCTTCAAACATTTTTAGTATCTATGTATCTCATAAATAACGTTGACAGCTCATGTTTGTCTTATTTAGCTTAAAATTCACAAAGATTGTAATTTCAAGTTTATTCTGAGTATTAACTGTTTCATCATTTTTAAATGGAGCCAATGGAATTTAAGTACTACAGAAGCTTGATACATATTATATATTAAATAACACCATAGCAAGGTCTTAGGATGGGAAAATTTACCATTATGTTTCGTCTCTGAATATGTATTTTTTATCCAACAAAAGTTGAATATATTTTATTTATTAATTACTCTAAGATAGTTTCCTAAAAATGTATAATAAGTGTTAAAAATTCATTTTGGATTATGGTGGTATTATATATTATTAGTATATATGTGATTAAAATGACATAGCTATTATAACATTTTGATAAATATCAAAAAATAAAAAGCAAAAATGTTATTGAAAACCTTTTTCTTAGATACCTATGGCTTATATAGTTAATAGTTGCTGTAGCTGTTCATGAATTTTTCTTATTGTTAGAATGAAACTAGGTTTAGCATAATTTTTTTTATACTTTTGATTCTGAAATAATTTCAGACAGAAGCAAAAGTTGCAAAAATAATGCAGTGTTCTTTTATACTTTTATCTATATTTCCCAAACGTTAATATATTTGCAATTTTTGCTTTTATATACTCTGTCTCTTTCTCTCTTACATAGATGGTAACTTTCTCAGATCTGTATAAGTGTATGTTTCAGACATAATGTCTCATAACTCCTAAATGGTTCAGTTTGTATTTTCTAAAAACAAGGACATTATCTTGTTTTCGACTGCATAATTTAAAAATCAAGAAATTGACACTGGTACTGTATTAACTTGCTAGGGCTACTGTATAAACATCACATACTCGGTGGCTTAAACAACAGGAAATTATTTTCTCACAGCTTTGGAGGCTGAAGGTATGTTTCTCCTGGAGCCTCTTTCCTAGGTTTGCAGATGCCCGCCTTCTCACTGTGTCCTCACGTGGTTTCTGCTGTCTCAGTATACATGCCTGTGTCCTAGGCTCTTCTTAGGAAGACACTAGTCAGATTAGGACCCACACTTGAAATGTCCTTTTACCTTAGTTACTTCTTTAAAGGCCCTATTTCGAAATACAGCCACATTCTAAGGTACTCGGGGTTAGGCTTTAACACATGAATTTTAATGGGACCACAATCTAACCTATCACAAGTACTGTACTGTTACCTACTCTGCAGGCTTCTCTAGTCTCCTTTCATCTGGAACTATTCCTTGTTGCTGTCTGTCATGACCTGGGTGTTTTTAGAGTGTGTACACCTGTTGTTTTGCAGGATATTTCTTAATTTGGAGCTGTCTGGTGTTTCCTCATGATTATATTAAGGTCATAGTTGTGGCATGAGTTCGAGTGTGGATGTGTCCTCGGTGCATCCTGTTAGCAGGCATGTGCTTCATCACGGGGCCTGTCAACCTTCTGCACTTGGAAGGTCATGTCTGCAGGTTTCTCCATGGAAACTTTTCCAGCCACTTTCTCACTGACTTCTTTAGAAGAGAGTTTATACATAAACTTCTACGTCCATTCATTCTCCCTCTCTCTTTCTCTCTCAGATACCTGTTGATACCTCCAGTCTAATACCACAGAATGCCTTTTAGCTATCTCATTTTCATCTTTGGGACTTTTTTTTTTGTGACAGTGAGAAATTTGGCACTCACTATTCAGCATCAATCTTATTCCAACTTGTCCCTCTTATTTTTAAGGAAGCTGTAAGAATTGCTTCCATTAATAAAGTTTTATTATCACAGTTTCTCTCAATTCTACCTGAGCTAATATGCCAAAAAGTACTGATAATTCTAACACCAATAAATATTTTAAAGAGCTATCATTTGAGAATTTACTGAAGTTCACCTTTAATATTTCAGGAAAGTTTCAGAAACCTTGATTAGCCCTCATTAACCTTTATTAATACCAGTATTTTATATTGCCCCTTTGTATTACAGCAGTTTGATAACAGGACTATTTCAAAGTGGGATGTGGGAAAAAGCCATTTTTAGTAAGAATGTGGGTGAAAGTTAAGAATATGGAAATTGATCATCTGAAAATCTATTCGTTTGTCCCTGTACCTTTTGAAATATTGTTGTGTACTTCCAAGAATACATAAATTAAGAACTAGACTAGCAGGTTCTAATGCTTTTCTAAGTCACTAATTGTGGTATCATAATATCTGGATTCAGTCACAATTAAACCACACAGAAGAAAAAAAAAACACCTCTGAAAAGTTGTGAGTAATTTAATAGGCATTCCATTTTTACATTGATTAGTTAATTATTTAGGGTAAAATTGGTAAAATAACTGGTATTAGTTGATACTGGAAATGATTGTAACTTTTCTGAACACTTCAGACACATCACAACAATGCTGTTCTCCAGCAGTGACAGGTAGTATATGCAGCAGCAGTCCTGTTGAGGTGAATAGTCACCTCACTGGACAAAAGATGGTTACCTTTTTTTTTTTCCTTCTTGAGACAGAGTTTCGCTCTTTATCACCCAGGCTGGTATGTAATGGTGCCATCTCAGCTCACTGCAACCTCTGCCTCCCAGGTTCAAGCAATTCCCTTGCCTTTGCCTCCTAAGTAACTGGGATTACAGGCATGCACTCCCTAACTTTTGTATTGTTAATAGAGACCGGGTTTCACCACGTTGGCCACCTGTTCTTGAACTCTTGACCTCAGATGATCCGCCCACCTGGGCCTCCCAAAGTGCTGGGGTTACAGACGTGAGCTACCTCACCCACCCACAGCTGGTTGCCTTTAAGATATACATTGAAAATATATGCAGTACAGCTGTAAGCCCTCTGTGGAATTTGTTACCATTTTTAAACTGTAGTTTATCTTTCTCCTTACTAACGCTTATAAAAAATATATTATTTTTGAAGGTTTTTCCAACTTGAAAAGAATAGGAGATTTGAGTACACAGCTTCACAGTGACTCCCTCCCCCTGCTTCTCCCTGGCCTTCCAAGTCATATGAAGACTGGTAGCTGTGTTTATTTCAAAACTTTGTTCCAACTCAGAAAGACCAGTTCACATGTCTTCTTTAAACTGATATTTTTTGCCTTGATAAAGCATCCATCTAAATAAAAAAAAAATAAAAGAAAATAGCTTCAAATTTATGCTAGTTTCAATAAGATAACATCTGATTTCTTAATAGTGAGATCCCTAGAATCTTACCTACTTGAAGAGGTTGATACCGTGAACTACTGCTAATGGACGAAGACCTAAATTCTGGTCATCACTCTGACACTGACATGCTTGCTGTTCTTGAGCAATTTTGCTTTGATGTTTTGAGCATTTTTTCCTCAAGCATCATATGAAAATTAGGAAAAGCACCCTATATTATCTGTTGTCACTAACAGCCAATCACATCTGTGGGTTCCCTACCTTTCCCTGGATGTTATACTTTCTAGAGAACATACATTAGTAATGATCAAGATCATAAATACGAAAATCTTTGTGCAGCATGAAGTGCTTTTTAATTGTTGACCATTACTGTCATTTTAATTGTGTTGATCTTTGGGAAATTCAAAATATTTCTGCTCTTGAACACATTATTATGGCCTTAATAGAAGCATGTCTTGTACATGAAAATTGCTTCTGATAGTGAAGATGATAATGTAATGGCATATTTTATCGTGGTCTTCTTTGATTCCGAGCCTATTTAGGAAGCAGGGAATATAGGCCATATTAACACTAATTATGTCTTTATTATTATTTATTTCATCTTTTGAAATATTTGATTCCATTCCTTTTATTGAATTAAAGGAGAATGTTTCTGATTGGCAATATCTTCATTTATTGAGCTAACATGTACTTGGAAGTACTATCAACAGAAAATATCTTTTAAATCTGAGTCAATTAATTTACTCCTATATACTATGATTTTAAAGAAACAATTTACTATGCCTCAGAAAAGCTAACAGGACAGTATGTCAGTTACATCTTTTGCCTAGAAAAGTAAATCTTTTAAAACAGGTTAGCTCTGTACATTTTGGTTAGAAAGACATTTAACAGGAAAGTGGCATGAGAAAAATTTACTATTAAAATGAAACCGGTTGGTTAGGGACAGATTTTTTAAGTGGCTCAACCTTTATTCATTCCAGAATTCAGCCACCAAGTATTGCATATCTTTCTCATACCAGATGGTGGATATAGAGATGATTATGATAAGAACAACTTTTATTTGATATGAGGCTTTATTGTGTACAGGCATTGTTCTAGACACTTTACATACGAAATCTCTCACAACAATCCTGTGAGTGTGGTTGTTGTCTCAATGTTTTATAAGGAAAAAAAATGGATGTATAGAGTTTAAATAATTCCCCCAAGGGCACATAGCAAGTATGTGATAAAGCCAGGTTTTGGATGCATGCAGACTGGTCCCGGTGCTCGCTAAGTATATTGCTTTCTCCCTGACATTGTTCTTTCCTAAGGTTGCTGTTAGGGAAGACAAATATATAAGTGTTTTTACATGTTATATATAAAATACGGATTAGGTGGTACTTAGTAGGGCTTATTATATATGTACCAACAGGGTACATATATAGATGAATAGACACATGAGAGGGGATTTAGGAGGGAAATTGGTTCACATGATTATGGAAGCTAAAAAGTCTCACAATAGGCCATCTGCAAGCTGGAGAACCAGGAAAGCCAGTAGCATGGCTCAGTCCAAGTCTGAAAGACTCACAGCTAGGGAAGCCAATGTGTAGCCCTGAGTCTGAGGCCAAAGGCTTGAGAAGCTGGGTTGCCGCTGGTGCAAGTTCAACTCCAAAGTCCAGAGAACCTGGAGATCTGATGTTTCAGGACAGTGTAGGTGTCCCAGCTTTAGAACAGAAAGAGAATTTGCCTTTCCTCTGCCTTTCTGTTCTAGCTGGGTCTTTGACCAGTTGCATGGTGCTCTACCACACTGGGTCAGGGCAGATCTTCCCTGCTCAGTGCACTGATTCCAATGCTAGTCTCCCAGAAACATCATCACTGAAACACCCAGAAACCATGTTATCCGGGCATCCTCCAACCCAGTCAGACATTAGAATTAACCATCACAGATGGTTAGCTTAATTTTGTCAGAAATGAGGGGGGAAAGTTCAGAAAAGAAATACCTTCATAGGTAAAGTAGTACAGATGGTAGAGCAAAGATAGGGTTAATAAAAGAGTTTGTGATAGATTAAGAGAAAGTTTAACACTTGGGATATACTTACAAGGAGAATTATGTAAATTAAATATGTAATTATAGATGATGAACTGGCTGTTGCTTAAGAGTATTGTATATTCCCAACAAAAGTTTTCTAAGAAGTATCAAAACTACATCCAATAGCAGTGCATTGAGTCACAAAGTTATCTGCTAAAATTCAACCATCTCCTGTTAGAAGTGACATGATCACACACACACACACACACACACACACACACACACACACACACTTTTCCCCATCTTGAATTTGAATACTCTTAGATACTAATGAATAACAATTCTTAAACTGAATCTTTGGGGTTACATAAAAATAAAAGTTTAATACATCTCCAAGTCTGCAAGTTTATAGATAACTAATTTCAGCTGAATTCAATCTTTTTTCCTTCTTTTGGTTATAATGCTACAAAATTTGTAACTGACATACACATTTATGCATTCCATCCATAAGCATTATCACTGTTAGATGCTAGGTACAGATTAAGAATTAATGAACCTGAATCCTAGGTGGTTTTATGTCCTATGTTTATATGTATATTTTAAATATTCCTTGATACTGAATACAGGACAATTTTCCATTTTTTTAGTTGACCTTAAAGGCATCATTTCCCTCTGCAATATATGCAGCTCTGCTTCAGCTGTGACACTAGGTACTCCACCCTTCCAGATCATTCTTTCCATACTTTTTGAGTTCTCAATGTGTGCATAGTATCTTTCAAAACTTAAAATCAAGCAGACATGCATTTTACAACCTGCTCCATCACTTTCCAGCATTCTGACCTTGGGCAAGTTAGCTTATGTGTTCTTCAGCCTTAGTTTCCACAGAATTATCCTTAGGACAAAAATGAGATAAGTAAATGCATTCTTAGTACAATATATAGTCCATTGTAGATATTCCATGTTACATCCTTTGGTTTCACACTATTTAGTCATTATATTTTATGAGTTATCATTACAGCCAATTTTATAAATTTTCAGTTCATTGTTAAATATGTAGCTGGCTTGTTGTTTCCACAGGCTAGGTTGCTTTCCATTAAAATTCAATTTGCTTCATTTATTTACTGGAAAATAGCAAGGAAGAGCTTATAGAGGACCTTTAATGTCTGCCTTAAGATGGAATTTCTACACTTACAGAGGAAGAGAAATCAGTATTCCTACTTTAGGACACCAGTAGCTTTCCATACAATGAGGTGCATTTGGGCACACAGCTGGAGAGTCATTTATCTAATGCCCCTGCTTTCTCCTGATTTCAGCTGTCTCTTATTTCATAGGAACATAACACACACAATTTTTTAAAAAATTTTTTCCCGGTGGTTGCAAATCCGTCGAAACACATTAGAGAAAACTATTGTCACCTTTGCAATCCTTAACACGAAAGAACTCTCTCTGGTGCCATAGACAGTAGGTGCTTGGGCCTGTCTTTAAGAAAGGGTTTTAAATACTTCTACCCACAATTAGGTCAAAGGTATGACTCTACTGAGAAAGAAACAGAAAGAAACCTTTGTGGATTTTTTGTTTGTTTGTTTTGTTTTTTGCATTTTGGTACTGTGGTTTCCATAGACTAGAATAGTTGTTCAAGTATAATAAGTCACACATTGAATGCTGTATTTTTGCAACAGTATATTTTTAATCTCTCAGTAAGTGTTTTTCATTAACTCAATTTGTAGAGGGTGCTAATATCTATTCATCTTTTTCTTCTTAGATTGTTTTTCATTTCATTTACTTGTTTACCTACTCAAATTTTTCTCAGATCATCTCCCTCGTGGGAGACGCTCCAGCTGAGATACATGTAATGTTCTCCATGTGCCCCAGGCTTTCAGTGTTCTGGGTCCAGGTTTTTGTTTCTGTTAAGTTTTTAGCTTGCATTTCCAGCAATATGTTAGTATAAATTTGGAAACTACAACAGCATATGGTTTAAGCTTGATTTCCATATTCTCAATGGATGGAGACTATTTATTTTCTACCCATAGCCCCAAGTAGGGACAAGGCTTCTTTTAGTCTTTATGGAGTTCTCAGTTCAGCTCCTCTCCTCATGCAGCCACAGGCAAGTCTCATCCTGCATGACCTTCCCTTCAAGTCCCAAAGCCACAAGCCACA